TCAGGAATCCTGACTGATGTTGGAGAAATCCTCTTGGACAGCAGTACGGTTAATGTAGTCAGTGCCGAAGCTATTACAATTTTGCTGAGATTAACGATGTTTATTTGTCAGCCTTACATAAACTTCCAGAAGCATTATCCTCATTACGGCACCATGCTACTTTGTTCGCTAATGTTCTACCTAGAGAGTTTCCACAAATTTTCATAACAGGAAATGTATTAAAGCTCTTTATCACTGTGCTAATGATGGCGAGTTAGCACTGCAGATAAAATAACAGTACTTTTAGACGAATAGCAACAGTCCGTTGGATCCATAAAACGTGAGAGCGATTCGCAAGTTGTCTTCTATGGGAGGTTCACCTGCTGTAAGACGACCAGTCTCAAACGAGTCTGAAATATACAGAAATAAAGGTTGATCATATTGCTCGCGTTTCTCAGAGGCAAATCTTATATTGATCAACACACACACAAACAAACACACACACACACACACACACACACACACACACACACACACACACACACACACACACACATACACACACACATACTTTCACGTCAGAGAATACTAGAATATCCACATCATCATAACTGATACTTTGTTCATGGACTCGTAACAACAATGAATGAACCAATCTAGCTCTACAGTCCGAATTTATTATTTCTTTATGATTCTTTTTCTGCTTCTGTGACGCCAGAGTAGCAACAGCGATGGCGTTATGAAATGTCAATCTCCAGATGACTGAAGTGGGACAGGGGAAAGGTAAGTTGTGCATCTTTGGATAGAATCTTTGATATATAGATATAAAGATAGCTACATGTGAAGACATGAAAGAGAAAAGAAAACTTGCTATGGAGAAACGAGTCTACAGGAACCTTAAAAATGAACCACTGAAGGAATTGGAGGCTTGTCCTTACCTTACGAGGTGCAGGCACAGGTAGAGGCTCAGGGCCTGGCTCTGTCTCTGGGTCCGGAGCAACTGCAAAGGATAAGGAATCATAATAAGGTATGAGGGCTTTTCTCCTGTTCTGCTTCTATTGCGTTTTGCTATTCGCCGTCGATTAAAAAAATGATGATATTGTTAGTTTTTTGGTATTGTTATTTAAAACATAATTGTTAATATTGTCTCATTATTATTATTCGATTACTGCCATTGCTATTTTTTTCATTATCATCATAATTACTATTATCATTATAAATTATAATGATAATAACATGTCCCGTCATTCATTTAATGGTGTAATACATATACTATATCTAATGATATAGTATATGATATGAAATAAAGAGGTTAATAGATCAGCATTTTCAGAGGATTGTATTTTATGTGATAAACAATTAGGCATGTCACCTTTAGTTCCTACGCACCACTTTTGAAAAAAAGTGTTTTGAATATTATGATATTCAGTTGTCTAATAATATGTACATATATTTACTTGTTAATTACCTCCGCCAAGAAGGTTATGTTTTTGACGGCGTTGGTTTGTTAGCAGCGTAGCTCAAAAAGTGCAGACCGGATTTCATCGAAATTTTGGGGACAAGTCAGAAAGGGACTAACTTAGAACTGATTAAATTTTGGTGACATTCCGAATTACCGTCTGGTTATTAGTGTTATCATTATTTATTTAATCAATAAATTTACTATCCAAGTTCGGTACACAAATCTACAGTAAACATGTGCCACATTTCACCATCTCCCATTTTTATTGTTATTGTTACCTCCGCCAAGGAGTTGGTTATGAGTTGGTTTGTTTGTATGTTAGCAACGTAGCTCAAAAAGTGCTGGCCGGATTTCATCGAAATTTTGTGGACAAGCCAGAAAGGGACTAACTTAGAACGGATTAAATTTTAGTGACATTCCGAATTACCGTCTGGACGCAGCAGCGGTGTAAGTACATTATATACGCACCTTGGCGGAGGTCTGCACTCTCTGAGTGCTTTTCTAGTTTATAATAGCTTCGGTACACAGCTAGTTTTTACCATGCTCTTTCAAAGTCTACTTATCCAAGGGATATAGACGTACTTATTTCTTTTTCAGTAGTGGTAGCAAGCTATGGATAAACAATTAAATTAAACAATTTGCTTAAGGCACCCAGTCTATTTTTACTTTGAATATTTCTTTGACAAGTACAATTGGTGTTTGTCGACTATTTTGCATTTATTCCTTATCTGCTGTATACTATGTACAAAAAAAAAAAAAAAACTATAATAAAAGTACCGAGAAGTCGATGACAACGGCAGACATGACATTTCCTTCTATCTCATGGTATGGCAGTTTTGTTTTCTTTGAAAGCACATCAAGCTCGGTTCAATTACGTGGTAATTTTGGTTCCCGTTTATGTCAAGGACATTTATATTTTTTACATCAAGACTTGATTTTGTATTAAATACGATAAATCAGTGTCTCACCTGTTGTTGCGCTCTCCCCAATCAGACTGCTTAGTTCTTCCTGCAGGTCATCTATGCTAGCCTGGACGTCGGAACGCTCTTCTCCCACAGCTTCACTTGCAACATTTGCAGCATCAATAATAGTACTCTTAAATTGAGAGTCGATGATGATAGTCCCATTTTCTATGAATGCAGTGAATCTCTCAAGGATTTGATTGAAGCAGCTGATCTGGTCTGTCGTGAGATTGGGCACTTCTTCTGAAAGATCAGTCAGCACTTGCAAAAGCACAGCTGATGTATTGCCAGACAGGTTGTCATTGGCATTTACACTGCAGTAAGGATCGATAGCGATATTCTGACCCTCTAGGCTCATGTCAAACGAAACAGAACGGCGCTTTCTTGCGTTTGCCACGGCGATTTTGAAATCGTTGAGAGAATCGTCTGTATTTGCAAGGTTACTTGTTCTCTGACTCAGTTCTGCGATCTGTTTCCGAAGCTCCGTCTCTCTGCTCTCTTCTGTTGTAGTTGTGGGGCCAGACGGCTCAGGGGTCAGCGTTTCAGGTAGGCTAATTGTTTCGAGAGTTTGTGTTTCAGTAATTTCAGAAGTTTCATATTCTATTTTAGAGGTCGATGTTTCAGGTAAGGTAACAGTTTCAAAAACAGTTTCTGTTTCAATTGTCGATGTTTCAGGCAAAATTACAGTCGATGTTTCAGGTAAGGTAACAGTTTCAAAAACAGTTTCTGTTTCAGGCAAAATTACAGTCGATGTTTCAGGTAAGGTAACAGTTTCAAAAACAGTTTCTGTTTCAGGCAAAATTACAGTCGATGTTTCAGGTAAGGTAACCGTTTCAAAAATAGTTTCTGTTTCAATTGTCGATGTTTCAGGCAAAATTACAGTCGATGTTTCAGGTAAGGTAACGGTTTCAAAAACAGTTTCTGTTTCAATTGTCGATGTTTCAGGCAAAATTACAGTCGATGTTTCAGGTAAGGTAACTGTTTCAAAAATAGTTTCTGTTTCAACTGTCGATGTTTCAGGCAATATTACTGTTGATGTTTCAGGTAAGGTAACTGTTTCAAAAATAGTTTCTGTTTCAATTGTCGATGTTTCAGGTAAGGTAACTGTTTCGAAAATAGTTTCTGCTTCAAATGTCGATGTTTCAGGCAAAATTACAGTCGATGTTTCAGGTAAGGTAACTGTTTCAAAAATAGTTTCTGCTTCAGTTGTCGATGTTTCAGGCAAAATTACAGTCGATGTTTCAGGTAAGGTAACTGTTTGGAAAATAGTTTCTGTTTCAATTGTCGATGTTTCAGGTAAGGTAACTGTTTCAAAAATAGTTTCTGTTTCAATTGTCGATGTTTCAGGCAAAATTACAGTCGATGTTTCAGGTAAGGTAACTGTTTCAAAAATAGTTTCTGCTTCAGTTGTCGATGTTTCAGGTAAAGTAACTGTTTCGAAAATAGTTTCTGCTTCAAATGTCGATGTTTCAGGCAATATTACTGTCGATGTTTCAGGTAAAGTAACAGTTTCAGAAGCAATTTCTGTTTCAATTGTCGATGTTTCAGGCAAAATTATTGTTGATGTTTCAGGTAAGGTAACAGTTTCAAACACAGTTTCTGTTTCAATGGTCGATGTTTCAGGTAAGGTAACTGTTTGGAAAATAGTTTCTGTTTCAATTGTCGATGTTTCAGGTAAGGTAAAAGTTTCAGAAACAGTTTCTGTTTCAATGGTCGATGTTTCAGGTAAGGTAAAAGTTTCAGAAACAGTTTCTGTTTCAAATGTCGATGTCTCAGGTAGAATTATTGTCGATGTTTCAGGTAAGGTAACAGTTTCAAAAACAGTTTCTGTTTCCATTGCCGTTGTTTCGGGTAACGTACTTGTTTCAAAAACAGTTTCTGTTACAACAGTAGAAGTCCTAGAGATCGTAAAAGTCTCTGTCGAAGCTGTGGAAATAAGCACGGATGTAATATATATGTCAATGCTAAGAGCCATAAGAAAAAG